GTTCTAGTTGGAGAACGGACCGTTCTAGTTGCAAAATTCACAGATGACCTAAACCCAAAATGCAAAAAAAAAAAAGAATAGTAAATGGTGTTAGTTTGGTAAATAAATTTGCACAATTACTATTTGAGTAATTTTTTTAAAAATAATATTATTTCAGTAAAAAAATTTGAATCTTGAAAGATTTGAAAATTTTGAGAGGTTTGATGGATGCCAAAAAGTAGGTTCATTGCAGAAAAAGAGGATAGACAAGTCTAAAACGAGAAACTCGTGATACAAAAGAAATAAATAGGAAACAATAATTGTTTGATGGATAAAATTAAATGAGAAATTGAATAAAAAATTAATATTTTAAAATTATATTTATATAATTAATTATTTATGTAGAAATGAATATTTTAAATAGTTATCATTTTAACGTCGTTTCTGTTTTTACGTATAGTATTTAATTTTTATTTTTGAATATAATTATTACCTAAATGATTATGCGAGTCTTTTATATAATCTTCTTTTTTATTTCTTTTATCCTAACTATTTAGAAGAGAGGGAAAAGGTGTTTATTATTTTTTTTATATATAATCTTCTTTTTTATTTCTTTTATTTATTTATTATTATAAGGTAAAAGACTATATATTATAGAGTGGATTAATATGACTGGTTGGTACTTGGTAGAAGAGTGAATGTAATAGTCACAAGACCAACGAAGATGATTGACATTTGTTGGTTAGGTAGTAATACTATTTTGTGTATCAACTATTCATTGTAGTCCCAAAAATATAGTATGCATATGTGTCGTGAAAGGTCCAAGATTCAAAGTAGTCATCTATTTTAATCAATTATTTATTTATTTATATATAAATACACCTAAAGGGATCAAGAAACACAAAATGAGTGATAACAAATATCATATAGGTCAATAAAAAAAGCATAACAACACAATCATACTTCAATCTATAATACAAAAACTTTAGTATATACTCACTTTTTAATTCTATTTTATGGTTGGATTTTTACAAGGACTTGTAATAACTAATCGAGATAAATGAGTTTTAATTATCATGGTCTCAATAATATAAGGATCACTGACCTTAATCAAATATATACTAATGGGTTGAGTATTTTTAGCTGCGCCTCTCCAGAATGATGGTTGTTGCTTGAACCAGATTGTTTGTATGTGATTTGTTGGAAGTTCCCTTGCGTTGGCGAGCGAAGAAGTTTTGTTCGAGAGGGATCACGACTTGGGATCCCGTCTTCCTCCACTTGAGGAGGTCAAAGGAGTTGTTAGCGGTGTCCTCTTTAGATTGCTTGTGAATTGATAAAGAATGCCCTTAAGATGGCGGGTACAAAGGTGCTTAGAGGGATCGTGACTCGGGAATCTCGTCTTTCTTCGTTCGAGGAAGTCTGAAGGAGTGAAGTCGATTGTCTTTGATTGGGAAGGATCGTGACTTGGGATCTTGTATTTATTTGGTTGGGAAGTGATGGCAAATGGTGCTATTGATGGTGTGCTTAATCATCTCCTGGTGCCCCTAGCTTGGGTGGCTATTTGCTTGAACTTGTGTTATGGAGTGACTATTGTTTTACTAGAGTCTCTCTAGGCCTGGTCTTTATTGTTGAGATTCTATAAATGGATAGTGTTTGCTAAAGTTCCTTTAGGCTTGATCTAAGTTCTTTTGGAGTGTTGGGATGCTTTTGTGGATTTGGGTGATTGATTTACTTTCCGATGGGATTTCTGCTTTGTGGAGATTCATTCCCCCTTATTTGTCCTTGAAGTTGGGCCTCTTGCTGAGGATATTTAGGGGTTGATTTTATGGTTATTTTCTAGTTTTGACTTTCTCTTATGTAGAAGCTTGGCCTTTTTTTTTTTGTATTTTTGGCTCACTTTAGCTTTCGTTTGTAGTCGTCAACGATGAAAAGTTCCTTTTTCCTTGGTGATGGTGCTTGTTGGAGTACCATTGATGAGTATTATTCGAAAGCCACTCCTGGCTTTGGAATTCTGTAAGCCATCCCTAGCCTTTGCATTTTCTTACATCATCCTTGGATCAGCTGAAGATATAGCCTCCTAGGTTCGAAGCTTGGCTTATGCCGTCATGATGTCTGTTTTTGCGAGAACAAATGCTTGAGGTTCATTTGATTTTCATTTGGTCTCTTGATCCTTTAGCTGTACGGCCTTTCCATGCCTCATGCTGACTCTAAGCTTGCTTAATCCTCCTTGGTGAGGTCCGCTCTATTTTGTTGCTACTGTACCTTTCCTTGCTTAGTGGCTATGGAACCGCTTTTAGGGAGTGCCCCTGTTGGGCTAGGCTTCTGACTCCCCTTTGTTGATGCAGTTTCGACACTTGTGGCCTTGAGAGACTACTGAGTTTTGTGGTATTTTTTAGTGTTCTATCTTGATGACCCCCTATGATTTATGACAAACACAAGCAAAAATGCAAAGAGAATACAAAACAGGAATGGATTGGGGTTTATTTTATTATTTTTTTAGGAAAATCTTAACCTTTTGTACACCCTTGTGTCATATTCATGCAATGTGTGAATGTTTCTATGCTAAACTTAAAATGCAGATTTAATTTTTCTTTCAAGAAATTAATCTATGCTCATTAATCATCGATGAGGATCGTTAGCCTTTAACTGTGTCGAACCCATCTTTGTCGAGTGTTCTTGCTTGAACCTGAGGTTTGTACATTTGATCGAGTGTTCCTAAACTCTACTCTAGGACACCTCCAACCTCTCTCTGTGAGTGTTTATTATGCATACTCCGTGTATCTCTCAATACTATCTTAATGCCATATAGGTCAAAAGAAGGGAAAGAAAGGGATATTTTTTACTTTTCAAAAGGTTCGTTCAGAAGGAATTTTCAAAATTTGTTTTTAGAAGAACAGCTGGCCAAGGTTGGTTGGTATTTAGGCTAATGAACAAGCACATTCAAAATGGGGAAACCATATTTCATGTTTACTTATTATTTCCTTGAAAGTTAGGCGATGATTTGGGATTGTGTTTTGATTAAATGATCTTCCCGGACCACCTTTCAATTTTCAGCATGGGATGCTACTCCTTGGTTGCCTTCTTTTGTGGGACTCTTAGTGAACTTTTATTTTTGGACCCTAACTTTTGCCTAGGTTTCCTTCCTTGTTACCTAGCGGCACTACAAGAAACTTGTTTGTTTGCAGCGGTTTTTTAGTAAGAGCGACGGCAGTTTTGACCGTCGCAAACCTATATTGCAGCGGTTCGTAAACCGCCGCAATCTTGTGTGTCGCGATTACATTTTGCGGCGGGTTTTTTAACAACCACATAAACAGCCGCAACATATTCGATAAAATTGTGGCGATTATAAAATTGTCGCTATTTTGGAAACTGAAACTAGTTAAAAATTAACGGCGGG